TTCCTGGGCTTAGAAACTAGTCTAGTAGAATATATATACTTGTTTTTGTTTTTTTGTCGGTCATGGGACCTGAACTCTAGACCTGGGCACTGTCCCTGAGCTCTTCAGCTCTAGGCAAGCGCTCTACCACTTGAGCCACAGTGCCACTTCCAGTTTTCTGACAGTTAATTGGAGATAAGAGTCTCATGGACTTTCCTGCCCAGGCTGGCTTTGAAACGAGATCCTCAGATCTCAGCCTCCTGAGTAGCTAGGATTACAGGCGTGAGCCCGCAGTACCCGGCTATAAGTTGCCTTTTTTTTTTTCCCCCTAGCTTTTTTTTGGATGGATAAAAATAATGCCCAACATGCTCCAGGTGTAAAGACACAGTTGGTGACTCATGATTAAATTAATTCTATGTCAGCATTTAACTTTTGCCAAATGTAAATGAAATGAAAAATGTGTCATTTACAACTGCTATCAAAGCCTACCTGTTGGAGGATGAACCATTTCTCATTCTTCCATGTTTAAGACCCTTTTAGGTTTCTAGTACCCAACTTCAAAAAGAAGGCAAGAGTTCAACGATGAAGGACAGAAAGGAGTGCTCTTTTTCACTAATCCTTTGGAAGGGCTTCTTGAATTAATCATTTCAGAGCCACCAATCTTCGCTGAGCTTGTGTTATTTTAAGACTTTATCATTTACTATTTTTTTATCCTAGGAGATAAATGACATAAATGCCAAATATACCAACCTGTGCAAAGCCTTTTTTCCCATTTTTTTTCTAATTAGTCACTGAACTCTAGAGCCAGGAAGGACTTAAATCCTCAGAAGCAGTGACAACTTAGGTATTTCTTCAGGTCCTTACTTTTTCCTTGGTTCTGCTTCAAGTTAACAAACCAAGGGATCAGGAACAAGAAGCATACCCAGCCCCATTTATATTTTAACACAAAACAGGAATATACATTTTCTAGAGCTTCCAAAAACTTCCAAATTCCAAAGTATTGCTTCTTAACCTGCTACGTAATACCAGCGATATCAAAACCCCAGTTCCTTTGACCTGCAAAGTGTCTAAACGGCAATTAGGAGCAAGGCAGCAGCTATGGAAGGTGCTATGGAATACTTAAAAATTCCTGAGGAAACAGTGATACTCTATTCAATACTTCAAACTACTAAAGTCAGGTGGTTCATCCCTTCAACATGACACTAAGATAATCTCCTTTGATGAAGGCATTTGTTTGTGAACTGCATTTTAGCAGTTATTAATAACTGCTGTAAAAAGCAAGTACAAAGCTAAAGAATTCACAAGATAGGAAACAAGGTAGTTTGTCCAATCAGCTGGAAACAATACAACGACCAACAGGCACACATCCCATTAGTAATTATGCCTATTTTAAGATCAGGGCTGGGTGTTGGTGGCTCAGCTTGTAATCCTACCTACTCAGGAGGCTGAGATGTGAGGATGTGGTTCAAAGGCAGTGGGGTCAGGAAAGTCCATGAGTTGTTGTTTTGTTTTGAATCTCCAATTAATGACAAAAAGCTGAAAGTGGAACTGTGGCTCAAGTTCAGGAGCTCAGGGACAGGGGACAGTACCCAGGTCCAGAGAGCAAGCCCCAGGACTGGCACAAAAAAATAAAAATCACTTTTTTCTTTGAATTATGTGTATTATTTTGTTCAAACTGAATTGTTAGGACATAAATACTTCTTAGGTTGCTTAGAACTAACTACATACCAAACAAACCTGTAGATACTTTTTTTTTAGCACAAGGGCATCTTGGAAAAAAAATTACTGAGAAACTTTGGAAACTCCTGCTTTAGCCTCAAGAGATTCCATTTCTTACAGGTGTCTTTTCTGGGCCAGCTAGTTTTAGATGTCTCTCTGACAAGTCACCTTTGGAAGAAGGCGTTCTAAGAGTCTCAACACAGGGTCTCCACTTTAGTGGATTACTTACCATCTGCTCAAAGAAATTTTCACATTCCTGTGCCAGGGGAGTATAGAGTAAGGGTTTAAAGCAAGGGCTCTGAAGACAGACCATTGGTAAGTTACCTGACCTTCCTAGGCCTGTTGGCTTGTGTTGCAAAAGATAGAGATAATAATGCCCACTTCTGATGGTTATTAGTGAAGGTTTAATGACAAAAGGTACATATTTTAAATTCACTTAATTTTTTTCAATAAGGTTAATAATGCACTGCATTATTTTTATCCCTGTCCATTTGAACAGTGATCCTTAGGATCTAAAATCCATTTGGATATCAGGCCAGACAGAGGTTGTGTTAGGCTGGTGAGAAGTGATACTCCCTACTTCTGCAGAAAAGGAAGAGAAAAAGAGGAAGTAGAGGAAGAGAAAGGGACGGGAGAAAAGGAGGTGGGGGAAAAAGGAAGAAAAAGGCAAAAAACTGGAATAGGCATGTTTAAAGTAGTTAAGTTGACTGACAATTCTTGACTAACCAACCACTCTCTCCCAGACCCGGTGAGAGAAGGCGTAAGTTGGCCTACATTCAATTCGGATAAAGGGCAAACGAATTCAAGAGACCAGGGGCCAAATCCCGGGTCGTGCTCGTGTAACAAAATGAAATGTTCAAACACTAGCTAATTTATCGTTCTCCACATCTGCCTGGGTCAGCCCTCCTTCCTCCTGGGCCTGCAGGGGTCATGTACTGGGTCTCCAAAGTCAGCCCATTCCCAAGGTCAGAGCCTGGACTGGGCCCCGCCCTTGCTCCGAGCCCCGGCGCCCCCCACCCACCCGAGGGCCGCTCAGCGTGGCCAGACCCACACCTGGAGCAGCTCCTGGCAGAAGGCGCGCACCGAGCGCAGCGAAGCGAGGTCCAGCTCCTTGACGATCAGCTCGCCGGCCCCGCCGGCGTCGGGCGCGGGCCCCGCGGCCTGCGCGAGCTCGCGGCGGAGCTGCCCCGCCGCCTCCTCGGCGCGCGCGCGGTCCCGGCAGCCCATGATAACCCGCGCCCCTAAACGCAGCAGCTCGGCGGCCGTAGCGCGGCCCAAGCCGCTGTTGGCCCCGGTGATCAGCACGGTCTTCCCGTGCATGAGGGCGGGGTCCCCGTGTCCGTGCAGCCGCTGGGCCCTGGAGCCCACGAACCGCCGGGACACTAGCCACAGCGCCCCGCCCAGCGCGGCCAGTAGTGCCGCCGCGGTGGCCACGGCCATAGCCTTCCGGGCGGAGGGCTTGTCGGGCCCAGAGCGAGAGTTCCGGCGTCTGGGCTGTCATCAGCGCGCAAAGGACTATGGGGGCGCGGTCGGTCGTCTCTAGGCGTTTCACGCGAAGCAGCCTGGGACTTGTAGTTTCGGTCCTGAGGAACACCTATCCGATGATTGGGAGAGTTTGGTGCCCTCATGGGAACCTGCCTCCAGCCTGATCTTGGAAGGCCTAGCCTATGCTCTGGGATTCAGGCTTAGGACCATACCCACTGAAATCCCAGAGTGGTGGTTGTCTCTACTGCAGCCACACCTGAAGAATGCTGCTTTGAGTTTACACAACTGTACAGGCCAAATGTAGTTATCCATAATAAGGTAACAAATCCTCCGGGTGTTGTGTGTGCTTTCCTTTAAGGGCTTCTGGGTCTTGTAAACTCATTTCAATTTACTTTTACCTTCTGTTAAATGAACCCACTTTAGCTCCCCCTTTTCCTAGTTTTGGATTTAAATTTTAACAGCAGGAATCAGCTGGAATGAGAATAGACCAATGGATTCACACTTTATTGTGACCCAGAATCACCAGTTTTTCCATTCTTTCAAACTTCATTTCAGGTGTCTTTTCTGACCACTTCCAGACTTTGATGGTGTGCTTCCTCAGGCTCACATGAGAACATCATTGGCACAAAAGCAAGCAGCCTTCAAGTGTTAGCTACGAGTTGGGACATTTTATTTTTGGAGGTTAAGTTTGGGTTAAAGTTTTAAATATCCCAAAGGATGGAATTCTGAGTTTCTCTTGTGGTCTTTACATGGAATAATGGATACAAAATACTCAGTGTCACAAATGATACATTTTAGCCTGGTTTATATCAAATCTCCCTAGGAAGACAGCTGTCTTATCTCTTAGGGAGACTATGTCTGTGTAGGTGATTTAGGAGGTAGAAACAGAAGTAGAGAAAGCCAGAGAGAATAAAAGGATAACAGAAAGAAAAGAATCCTTAGATTTGCTGTGTAATTGCCGGCTTGGTTTACACAGAGCTAAATGGAATAAATTACTCCTCTCCTAAATTACTCCTCTCCAAATGAGTCCAGATACTAGAGAATTAACTATTTGATAGGTTGTTGAAGAGAAAAAAGAGACACATACTACTTTTGAGGGAAGATCTAAATTTTTACCCTTGTCTTATCACTTATTAGGTACACAGTAGGCCTAATCCTTAGACAATCTAATATTTTCAAATGTTCAGATCCACACTGAAAGTACGAAGACTAATACTATGTCTCAAATATTTAATTTGATGAGAGGCTGAGGTGACACAAAAATGACCAGCTCACTGTGCCTAGCAGATACTATGGTTAATAGCCAATCTTGTTTTGTTGAAAATACAAATCACAACAATGACAAAGGCCACCACACTGTCTATTACATTTTGAAGTGATGGTCAACCTTTTTTCTTTTATTGCAAATATTGGTCCAATTTGCCAGGCCTAAAGCTAGACATTTCAGTATCTGTGGTCTACATGTGGTTCATATCCCCCAGAAACATTCAAAATTTTTTTAGGAAGCTTATTCTTAGAATTCATTTTAGAAAGCACTCAGTTGAAACAACCAGTTGATTTATTTCGAAATGAGGAAAGTTGGTATACGCCTGCAGGTCGAATGACATTCTCATTTCGAATGAGGCAAAATGCTGGTCAAAGAGGCAACAGAATGAAAAGCTCTTGTTTTCAGAACTCATTCCATCTCTGACGATCACTCATCTAAGGCAACATCCAAAAATGAGCAACATTTTATGAAATAAGCTTCTGAAAGCCCCTTCATCACGGTCATTTTGAACTTATTCTAAAGAGTCACTGTTATGACTTACACAGAAGCAAGTACAATGGCATGCATTTAGCATTGCTGGTTTTTAGAAAAGGAGCTTGGTGGTAACTTGTCAATTCAAAATGTTTTCAAATAAATGAAGAGAAAAGCTTTACAGAGGATCTAAGTTATGAGGTCCAATCTTCTGACACCTAATTATTCTTGACATCCAAAAGATGTACCACTGGTAATACCAGCCTGTCACTGCTTTATTTCTTCTTCCAGTCGCTAACAGTTGTATTTTTGACTAATCCCATAAGGTACATGAGCTGAGATGGTGCCAAACTTCTGGGCTGATTCAATGTGAAACATTTGGTCATCAAAGAAGATGTGAGGCCGGATCTTCACCAAAATGGGACCTTTTGGAGCTCCAGCAAGGAAAAGGGCTTCGTCTATTTCAAGACCCCAGCGTCGAAGGGTCTTCAGCACACGGGCGCCTGAACTGGCTGCGCTTCTGGCTGTAACCAGGTAGGTTCTAATAGGACAAAGTAACCGCTCGTCTTTGGCATAAAACTTCTTTTGCAGTCTGCCTAAATCTTCCAGAAAGCCTTTCAAAGGACCCTGCGAAAGAAACACACATCACAGCTATAACTAAGGAGCCGAAAGGCATGGTAGAGGCTTGAATGAGTTTAGAAAAGACCTCACATTACATGCAGTTCCTGGGTTGACCTGTGCTAAAACTTACTACCTTTATGTGAATGTGTGACCTGACAATGCAGTCACCTTAAATTTATGGAACAAACCTAGGTTGGGCATATAATTTATCACCTAAACCAACATATGTGAAGTGTAAAAGAATGTTCTGTAAATAAACAAGTTACAATGAGCATAAACTATTCATATTAGATGAGATCTAGTAAACAAGGTAGATGGCCACTCCAAATAAACTTTGGTGGTCATCAAAAGCACTATTTTTTGGTGGGGAGGGCTGGGAACTAGTGACTCACATCTGTAATCCCAGCTATTCTGAAGGCTGAGACCTGGAGGATTATAGTTTGAAGCCAGCCCAGGCAGGAAAGTTGGCAAGACTCCATCTCCAAAATAACTAGCAAAAAGCTGGACTAGAGATGGTTCAGTTCAAATTCTCATATTGACACCACTTTCTAAAGTTAGGGTTTTTTAAAAAATGAATAGCACAGTTTTAACATTAAAAGTGTACTCTTTTTGATCTACTGCATTTCCCCCCTGAATCATTATATATTTATAGCTGCTTTGTATATCTTCATATTTTCTTTCATTTTCATTTTCAATTTTTCTGAACATTGTTTTAGTTGTTTCTCTAGTGTATAGACTAAGGGATTGGATTTTGCCATGGGATACAACCTGAAAGCCTTATGTTTTAAAACAGTAGTTGAGTTCTAGTGGACTTAAAATTATTCCTATTACAAATATACTTCATATTGTATGTGTTTTATGTTTTCATTGGATTTTCCAAGATGAAGTATGGTGAAAGCTTATTCACTACATGAATAAGTACATATGCAGTTCTCATGACTTGAGAAACTTTATACTAGTTTGCACTACAAAGGAACTTAATAACTATAATCTTTAACAATGTTTTTTTAACAATTCTGGATTTTTTTGGTATTGTCTTAAGAAATATCTTGCATTTTTTTGGTATTTTTGACATAAATTTTTGCTATATAGCCCAGGATGGCATCAGACTTGAGATTCTCCTGCCTTAGCCATGCAAAGTTATGGGATTACTACCATGTACTGCCAAGCCCCAGTTTACAAAGAGAAATGACATGAAGGTGTTTAGCAACATTTCTCGCATTATATCCTTTTTCTCCATCATGTTATGGTAGTCACCTATTTATACTTCCTCTACGTTTGTTTGCCTTGTTATATATTCTGTTTTTTTAACCAACTTAATTTTATGCTCTGATTGATTGGCCATTGAAACTGAAGTTATCAGCAGACTTACTTTAACTCTGTAGAATTTTCTCCCCAGAGGGTTTTCTCTTTATCATTAGCTATATAATGACTACATTATTAAGACTTGTAATATTTACTCTTCCCCCCCCCCATCTAGCATCACATACTGTCTTAGTTCTAAATCCATAGTTAAAAGTATTACATGATCATTTGTGTTTTATAGTGAATCCAGTTACCCACATACTGGCCAAACTCAATCCCAGAGTGCTTGTGTTCTCAAAAACAAATCTTATGGAAATAATCTCTGAGAATTTAGTTTTTTTCAACCACACAGCTGTTTTTTTTTTGACCTGAATGAACTTCCTACTAGATATAGATCCAGTGATTTATATTTTCTGCCCGTAATGTCTTTCAGGTAGTCGTTTACCATTAAGTGAGTTATTGAGAAGCTTGGGGCAGCCTGATTGATCTCAACTCCTCACCTATCCATACTATGCAATGACTGGTCTTTATGAACAGGAAGACCTAAAAATTACTTATCTTTGAAGCCACGTAATTTCACTGAAGCATGTTTCAGACATGATTATTCAGACAGTGTGGATCTTTATCTCTAATGATTTATTTAGTATACTCATTAACATATTCTAATAATTCAAGATGTTTTCTTGATATATTTTTTATATAATCTTACAAAACATTTTTAGTTAGCCATACCTCACTGAACAAAATTTCAATACTATTCTTCAGGGATTCCACTTGTACATATGTTGTAATTCTTTTCCCTGTAATCTATTTTAGTTTTAGCTATTTTTCTATCTGAGACATTATTTTCAATTCTATTCATTTTCAACAATCTACTACTTCAGATTTTATCATCTCTTCCCTGAGTATTATCGTTATAATTTATGACCATGTTTTATTGAGTTTTTAAAATTCATAAAATATGTTCAGTACTGTGACAATTTTTTTCTGGTAAGGGTTCTTCATCTATTGTCAAATTTTGTTAGATCTTTTTTTCCCTGCCTTTTTCTCTTAGCAATTTTAAATATGTTTTATAATTTTTTTTCTATTATATTGATTTCTTTCTAGTACTTCTATTGAAGTAGGTTGGTTTCCTTGGGATAATTGTCAGTTTCTGGAGAGTCATGGGTAGTACTGGAAGACTGACTTTCAGATTGTATTATTCTCTGCTACCATAAGAACATACTTTTCTGGAACTATGACTTACATGATAACATTTGTTTCATTCTGCTTTCTTGGAAAAAAAACATGCCTATTCTATTGAAAGAGAGAGGCATACATATACATGAGCAACTTGTAACTTCTTTCTTTTTTTAACAACAACAAAATACATGCAGCAAATGCTAGTAGGTGCCACTTGGTCACCCTTTGTCTTTAAAACATAGAGCGACTTAGTTCTTGTGGCATTTGTGAACTTTCCAAAAGGAAGAAATGAGGAATATGGAATTAATTTTTATTACAATATTTAAACCAGGAGACCATACTAACCTCTTTTACTTGGATTTTGGGGCCAGTTTTATTTGTAGACTAGCAAAAGGATGTAATTTATTGATAAAATACAGATATGTTAGTAAGAGTCATTAAAATACTTCTTTGAGGAGCTTTGTGATTTTAAATATTGGAAATCTGCTTATGATAACAAAGTAAAAAATTCTTTTACTCCATATGAAGCACTCATAAAAAATTGTTAAAATATTTGAGTAAGTAGAGAGATACACCACATTCATGGAATAAAGCAGCTACTAAGATACCTATTTTTCTTATATTTAGCTATAAATTCAATGCAACTGCAATAAAATTGCTGCAAGATTTTTTCACTAGAAATAGTCAATGTGCAGATTAAATCTATATAAAAATGAAATGTGAATTTGTAAATAGTTTAAAAGTAATCAGAAAAATCGTAACACCTAAAACTAAAGCCTACTATAAATCTATAATAATAACCTATATTAAAAGAACAAAGCAGAAAGTCAGCCTTTCAACAATACTGCTAGAACAATTAGTATTTCCATAAGCAGACAAATTTAACCACATTAAATTTTTATTCAAATATAATACTTGATCATAATACTAACAATAAAAACCTGAAACTATGAGAATTTTATATAACCATATGGGATAAAATCTTTATGATCTTGGATCCTTAGGTTAGGCAATTATTTCTTAGCTATCACATTAAAATCATAAATCGCATGATAAAAAACCCAATAAATTTAACCCAAAATTTAAATATCACTTGCATATTATTAGGTGACAAAATGGCAAAGTCTGCTAAATTTCAGTAAGTCCATTTATACTTTTATAAAAGTAAGCAAAAATAAAGAACTGAGAAATGAGTTCTTTATATAACAAAATTGAAGGGCCCATCACTTCAAATTCAGTTTGGTTAACATTTTCTTTGGTACTAAAGTTACATCAGTTTTGTTCATTTCAGACCTTGATTTTAATACTTCAGCTCATGTATGAATTACAAAAACCTAAATATTTGCATTCATATTGATAAAGTGTTCATAGTTTGCTCTTATTTGAGGCTGATTAGATGACTAGATTTGGGCTATGAATCTTGCAGAATTTCTCCATTAACCAATGCTGTCTTGAGTTTGGAGTTAAGGTGCATAGAGATCAATATAAAATGCTAAGCAATAGAAAACATCACCACTATTTTGAGAACCTATTATTTTGAAATGGTCTATTGGGAAGCTGTATTACATCTTTTGCTCATATCTTGGAGGAGGTAAACTCATTTTCATGGGAAGATCATAAAATCATTCCCCTAGGGGCTGGGAAGGTGGCTCAGTGGTAGAGCGCTTGCCTTGCATGCATGAGGCCCTGGGTTCGATTCCCCAGCACCACATAAGCAAAAAGAAAAAAAGCAGGAAGTGGTGTTGTGGCTTAAGTGGTAGAGCACTAGCCTTGAGCTGAAGAGCTGAGGGACAGCGCCCAGGCCCAGAGTTCAGGCCCCATGACCGGACCAAAAAAAAAAATCATTCCCCTAAAGAATAATGAATGGAGAGTTAGTATTTAAATGAAAAATGAAAAGTTGTGATCAGTAGATGTTACAAAAGAATTCACAAATCAAGGAAAGAAAACCATGAAGGTACTGAGGAGAGGCCTGCCATCACAATGAACAAATTCTTTAAAATATTTAAATTTGAATGTTGGAAAATAAGTACATGAAAATTAAGTCATTGAACTTACCTGAGCAAGAGGCTTGTTCTCGAATAGTGTTTCATGTTGAAAGAATTTGTCCAGCCCATGCTCCTTGGCAATATATTCAGACTCATCAGAGAAGAGGACGGCATCCCCGTCAAAGGCCACACGGAGCTGTGTATCACAATAAGCCACGTCTTTGGCTCCATCAAACATTGTTGCAGAGGCAATACCTGGCAGGTCATTTAGACTGATTAATACTCTTCTCAGAGCTGTGAGTTTTAGATTTTCCCATTAAGAAGAAATTCTTCCCAGAACTCATATTTCATCTGTTATTTGATAGCAACCACTCCTGTTTACAATCACACATCCCAGTACAGTAATCTACATACTGCCTTTGTTCCTACATGGACAGGAAGTTTAAAATAGGCTATAGGACAATCACAGAGCATGTGCAACTCAAGAAGGTCAAAACTGTAAAGTGCAAACAAAACGGCTGACATATGTAAAAACAGCTTAGCAGAAGATTCAAGAGTATAAACCACCTAATCCTATGGAATCCCCAAAGTAACTGACCATTAGTTTAGACCTCATTAGCTAGAAGGAAAAAAGCAGACTACTACCTTCTTGGATTGCTTCTTGTACTTTTTCAGAATCTGCAGAAAGATATAAGTTGGTAAGATATGCCTTCAAATAGCCAATGGGGCTTTTTCCACCAGTCAAACAGAAGCGGTCAATAAGTAAACCTATAAGAAGTAAGAAAGACTTGGTTATGGCAGAGATTAAAGACAAAGCATCAGAAATCCGAGTAAAGTTATCTTAGGAACGACTGAGTTTATTTGTAAGTCTATGTGAGTTCGTAAATTTTATGTAAGTTATTGTAAAAATAATTGAAGGTTTAAAATTATTTCACCATTATTGAAAAGCTCCTTGGGTGTTATATTCTAGGGAGTATACTTGATGCATTTTCTTCATGAAGTATATTTATATAGATCATTCCAATTTACTGTCACAATTTCATGGTAGGTATTATTTTTATTAAAGAATAAGAGTCGGGAAGATTTGTGTAACCAACTTGTTGACTAGCACAGAATAAACACAAACCTCCTTTCTAGACTGTAGTAATTTGCTCCTTAAACTACAACCTCCTTATTTGTGGTTAGGGCTCTCTAAGGTGAGGCTCTGCTTTAACTATTAGTTCTATATTTCTTCAGTAACAGCATAATAGCATTCACAAGTATAGCTAAGAGATATGTTATTTTCTAATGTCAGTAAAACATCTGAAGTTGTCATTCCTTCCTACCTTGAAAATTTTAACACTATTATTAGCAGACTCAACAATTAAAGTACTATCAAATGTTTTTGTAATTAATAATATAAGAACTTTGTAAAATATCCATCCACATCTAAAGAATAATTTGTATCTGCATGTAATTTGACACTATTATCACAAGCTTTTATATGTTTATGCTTACGATTTCTTTTATTCAGATATTTTTCTCAAGAATATAATTTGAAATTTTGCTAAAGATTTTACGTAGAAAAGTTCTAACACTGGGGTATTTATGGAAAGAAAACATGTTTACCAATGTGAGCACCTCACACAATAAAATATTATGTCCCCAACCAATGTCTTTTTCAGTTATATGATAAACTTGATAGCTGTACAGGATATAAAGGAAAATATCAAGTCCAGTTCAATATTTGACTTTGTACGGACCAAAGGATCAGGCTAAGTTGTCAATTGTGGAGGTGGAAGTATCTGCTTTGGTGTTAATAAAATACTCTTATTTCTTCCCTTAAGCTAATGGTGGCTTTAAGTGGCACAAAAATAGATTCTGTGAGTCTTCAGTCAATATTAGTGTGACAATTTAGAAAATGCGTGGTAAAGCTAGGACTTCTAGAATGATGAAAACATATGCGTCTTCTGAAGGGAATTGCAGTGTACTGTGGAGTCAAGCATGTAAACATTAATTATGATATAATAAGGACCACAGAACAGAGAGATATAGATTGTCTTCGGAACCTAGGGAATAGCCATGGTTCGTCTAGGTAAAACTGATGAATAAGGCTACATAAGACTGTTATGCTTAATTGGTTCATCACCAGAATTTGTACGAACCACAATTTCTTAGGCTTCCATGGAGTTCAAGACAGGGACCAATAGGATGATATGTTATTGCCAAGTAAATCAAATAAGATTGTGTAACTTAGAAATAACAATTGTCGGAATGTAGTATGATGGCTCATATTTATAATCCCAGCAGTCTATATTATCATATACTATTCATCTATGTTCAACCACTGTGTTCAAGCACTATGAAGGCTGCATTTTAAAAGGTATTATTTTGTTTTTGTTCGTTGTTGTTGTTGGTCATGGGGCTTGAACTCTGGGCTTGAGCGCTGTCCCTGAGCTCTTCAGCTCAAGACTAGTGCTCTACCACTTGAGCCACAGCACCACTTCCAAAAGGTAATTTTTAAAAGTAAGTCTTAGTAAGATACCAACCTCATAATTGAGATAATATAAAATAGAAGTCAACTTGTAATATGTCTCGATTGTTTATAAATATGCCCAATTTAAACCTAGAATTTAAATGTGCATGATTTAAGCCTGAGTTTTACTTGACACTTACAGAAGCCTGGATCAGCTCCTTAGAAAACAGGGTAATGGTGGCTCAAATAGGAAGTCAGGTAGTTTTATAGCAGGAAAAATGGAAATTTTAAGAGAAAGTGACACATTGATGGAAATGCTGTGGAGACTAGAGCCAATCAGATTTTCCATGTAAAGGAATAAAGATGATTTTGCTGACATAAGTATGGTTTTATATGTGTGTGTGTGTGAGTGAGAGAGCACGAGCTTCTGGGAAAACCAAATTTTTAGAGTGGAAAGGTGAAGTGAAAACCTTTATTAAACCCTTACATGGATCTACAGTGAACAAGAGGTTTGATCACATGGAGAAAGCCTTTAGTTTGACGGTTCCTTGAAGTCAAGTTCAGAAGTGAAAAACATAAAACAGAGAAATAGATTGCAGGACCTGGGATTAAGACTTTGAAATTCACACTTGACAAGTTAAGTCCAGAGCTTTGAGCCCAACTCTGTGCTGAAGTTAAAAATGAATATGGCCTTTCTTGTTCTGACATAGGCAAATAAACATTCCTCACGCAGAAGGGGGTGTTGGTATCAAAGACATTGCACTGCTTAGGCCACAGTTAGCAAAATAACATGGCTTCTCTCTTCCAGAGGTGTGGGCTAAGTCTCCCACATGGTATTTATTTGACTTACCATAGTGATTGACACTGTTTATAAGCCGCACTCCCACTTGGGCATGGTTATTAGTCATCAGCACAATATCAAATAAGTCCTGTTCATTAGGATACAGATCACGGAGCCTTGAGTTGACATGCTGTAATGCCTGCAGGTTAGAGACATAGGTATCTGTGAAGAAGGGCAGGCGAGGTGGGAACTTGGGGGGGGGGAGGGGGAGGGCTTTAGAGAAAAATCACTTTATCCGGGTCAGATTCAAGCTCTGCAGGGTCCTCATTGAGACAGCCTGATTCATTCAAGGCACAGTTACATAACAAAGTTCTGTATTTTCTGCCTCCCATCCATGGGGGCAGGAACCTCAGTTACTATTCGCTGCAGATATATTGAAAATGATGACATCATCAAGGTTACCAGAATTATCTCTGGGGTAGGTAGAGTCTGGCATAAGGTTAGCCCTTTTCTGTGTTGTCTGTTTATTTCTTGGTTTGTAAAATTTTTCCTTATTGATCATCTAATGGCTGTTTTTGTTTTAATTGTGAAAAACATGGAATGATTTGGGGGTAGACAGGGGCACCCTGCACGGAGGTCAGACTGATCATCTCTGCAGTGTTCCAGTTTTGATTGGCGTATGTGCAGGAAACTCTGAAGGAAACTCTGACCATATGTTAAACATGGGTCTTTATGTTTGTGGTTTCCTCCCAAACTTCTGCCATGACCCATAAGTACACCCAGGGCACAAGTTGTAGAGGTGTCATTTTGTTTGGGGATGGTTATGTTATTATGTAATAATTGCCTATGTGACATAGGGAATCAGTTATGATTGCTGCACATTTCAGTATACAACCATGTCCCTTAAGTGCCAAGAGTCTCCTGATTTTCCTTATATACTCTGGAATAAGCGAAAACGAATTATTCCATCTCATGCTAACGTTTCATTTCTGCTCCTCAGAACTGTGAAGGCCGTTTGCTTCCCAAAACGTTCTCTAGGGAAAGAAGCAAAAGCGGCCATCACAGGTCAAAGGACTAGGGTGCCACTCACGGAAGCCAGGACCCCAAGCTGGCTTCCCTACTAAAACCCCTTCCTCGCTGGTTACAAGAACTTTTGTGAAAGCACAAGCAGACCCGGTCCCCGGGAAGGGGCTAAGCATGTCCGGTGGTGATTAGGGAACCGGGAGGAGCTGCCCAAGCTTGGGCCCCAATCTCTTCCAAGCCCACCCATTGTGTTGATGGGAGGCCGACGAATACCTTGACGAAGCGAAACGCGGGCCCCGGGGTCAGCACGACGTTCTCGTTAGTAAGCTGGTGCTCCATGTACTTCTCCAGCCCTTCCTCCTCGTAGATTCTCCGGTCGTCCACCATGTTGAAGAGCGCCCGGGAGGACACGGCGATGGTGATGGCATGCTTGGGTTTGGGCTGCAGAGACAGGCAAGGAGACCCACAGGGACAGTCACACAACAGACGGAGTGGGAGAAGTCCTCCCCCCGACCTCCAGCCTCATCCAGGCCAGGATGGGGGGGGGGAGAAGGAGACAGGGCTTCCCTAGGTCGCAGGGGCCCAGGCCTTGCCCGGCGGGGAGAAGGAGCACGAGGAGGAGGAGGAGGAGGAGGAGGAGGAGGCGGCTCACCGGTCGGGGTCGTGAGCAGCTGGGGGTCTTCTCGTACTGAGACCTCACCGAGGCCCAGTAGGCCTCGTCCTCCTCCTCCTCCTCGCGCTGCTGCTGGCGGCGCTGCTGCTGCTGCAGGTCGGACAGGCAGTCGCGGTCGATGTCCACGGAGGGGTAGAGCAGGCGGCGCTGGGCGTAGGACTTCCACTCGGTGGTCACGGGCGAGGGGTGCTGGTGCTGGTGCTGGTGCTGGTGCTGGTGTTGGTGCTGGTGCTGGTGCTGGTACTCGCGCGGCGGCTGAGGCTGCGAGTCGCGGGAGTCGCAGCTGTGCGCATAGTCGCGGGCCTCGCGGGCCTCTCGGGCCTCGCGGGCTTCCCGCGGCTCGCGCGGCTCTCGCGGCTC